CTAAAAGTCCATCATTTCAATAGCCTAAATAATAGTAATATTAACTTTGGCTCATACCCTAATTTGGCTCAATCATAAATGAACGAAAGCTCGGTTCGATTTCAGATTTCCGTGTGCCTGGCGGCCCTCGTATTAACGATAGCCGCTGAAGAGAAGCGGACGAACACCGTCTCAGTATCCGCCAGCCCGACGGTGACTAAGGGCCACACAGTCAACAAGCTAGTGAAGGTCCTGGAGAAGTACGGACTCGAGGAGCAGCGAAGCCTGAAGAAGGTCTACCTGAGCAACAGGTCGATCACTTGCAACGATGGGTCGCAGGCGGGATTTTACCTGCGGAAGTCGCACGGCTCTCAGAGATGGATCATTTACCTGGAAGGCGGCTGGTACTGCTACGACCACAAGAGTTGTAGGAACAGGTGGCTCAGGTTGAGGCATCTGATGACGTCGACCCAGTGGCCTGAGACACGCGACGGTGAGTAACTTGCGTGCCGCTCCGCCTATACCCGACACTTTCTAACGTTTCCGCAATCCTGGCCTCGCACGACCAATTTCGCAACACGGTACGTCGTCGCATTGTTCGCCGAAAGGGAAACGACGACGACGACGACGTATCGATGAAACGTTATGACTTAAATAACTTTGATAATATTTAATGATTGCAGTTGGCGGCTTATTGTCATCGAATCCGGAGGAGAATCCATACTGGTGGAACGCGAATCACGTGTAGGTATTGTCCGTCTGTATACTTATATTTAATAGAGAAATTTTCATAGCTTGCTGTACTGCTCATCGATTTAGAAAGACGAATAACATACGGGCTGTCCCAAAACTAGTATAACATATTGAAATGGAGGTTCCTGACGTAATTTTAAACAATATTTTCCTTAGCGAAAAAGTTGTCCGTGGCGTGGTTGAGGAGTTATTAAGAAAAAACCCCGACCAATGAGAGCGCTCGGTTGACGCGATCTACGAATCGGGAGCGTTGGCTCGGATCCGAACGCTTGGCCAATCAACAATCTATTATTTACGTAGATAACCGGTTCGATTATTACAAATCTTCATTCTTAACTCATCCTGTCAATATCGTCCTCCATTTTGTATTTTGCATCATTTTTAATCTTCGATCTCTGCTTATCCTTACTAATTCCAGCCCCCTCCACTGTTCCGAGTGTATACAGATTATTTCAAAATTAGTATAACATATTGAAATGGGAGATTCCTGACGTAATTTTAAACAACATTTTCCTTAGCGAAAAAGTTGTCCTAGATGTGGTTGAGGAGTTATTAACAAAAAACCCTCGACCAATCAGAGCGCTCGGTTGGCGCGATCTCCGAATCGGAAGCGTTGGCTCGGATCTGAACGCACGGCCTATCAACAATCTATCTTTTCCCCATCCATTCCATTTGAATAACGATTAAATGTATTAATTGTTATTAATTTCCTTGCATTGTTATTCATGTAGTTTATTATTCATTATTTTCTTAAAACGCTTCGTCTTGAGCGGAGCGCTTGTTCACGCGTCAAAAGCCGAGCGTCCGGATTGGAAGCTCGCGCCAACCGAGCACTCTGATTGGTCGGGGTTTTTTGTTAATAACTCTTCAACCACGCCTCGGATAATTTTTTCTCTAAGGAAAATGTTGTTTAAAATTACGTCAGGAACCTTCCATTTTAATATCTTACACTAGTTTTGGAACGCCCTGTATATTCGTAACGTGGTTCAATTATTTTTACAGTTTCGTTCCGTATTGCACGAGCGATAGCTGGAGTGGTACCAGGTCCTCGGCGAACGATATGTTTTCTTTTATGGGGGCGGAGATCGTGACGCAAGTGATACGAGATCTCGTTCCCCTCGGACTCGAGAACGCGAGTTCTCTTCTGATGGCTGGTAGCAGCGCCGGCGGAACCGGCGTCATGCTGAATTTAGATCACGTGCGCAATTTGATTCATTATAAACTAGGTAAGACGCTAAAATCTCCGTCAATTGCGAACTTTACACGTTTGACAATATTAAATTTCGTTGTTTTTCATGAAGGTTTGAGATTCGTCGATATAAGGGGTGTGTCGGATTCGGGGTGGTTCCTCGACAGGGCGCCATATTCGTCGAACGGTTTGTCATCGGTCGACGCTGTCCGCAAGGGAATGGAATTCTGGAAAGCACGAATGCCCGACAATTGCGTCGCGAAGTATCCAACAGAGCCATGGAGGTGTTACTTCGGTTATCGGTTGTATCCAACGTTGACCGGTACGCGAACTTCCATTTCGTTAATCAATCCACTCGCTCGTTGGGACTTCATTCATTTAAACAATTCGCAGTACCTCTGTTCGTTTTCCAATGGCTGTTCGACGAGGCGCAGATGTCGGCGGACAACGTCGGTGCACCGGTTACGAAGCAGCAATGGGATTACATACACAAGATGGGTGACAGTCTGCGACAGACCTTCGAAAACGTTACTGCGGTCTTTGCCCCTAGCTGCATTAGTCATAGCATCCTGACGAAGAGGGATTGGCAATTGGTTAAAATAGACGAGGTCTCCTTGTCGCAGGCTTTGTACTGTTGGGAGCAAATGTCGTCCGATCCCCGAAACGAGTAAGCAACACTTTTTCGATACACAATTATTTGCACACAAACTCCACAATTGAATAATAATAGTAAACTTAAAGCACACCACGCACAGTTCACAATTGTCTTGCAAGAAACGATTTACGTTACGATCCCTGTAAGCCATTGTTCGAGTCACGGGAACCATTTCTTGTTAATTTCAGTACTCGTTCGAGGATCGAAACGAACCAGCCGTGCGCGAAGTCGATGCGGAAACTGCTCAGATCCGGACTGACTAAAGGAAACGGAACTCCGTTCGAGCTGGGAAGAAACAGAAAGCACGAGCCTGCGGTGAAGTTTCAGAGAGTTGGCTCGGCGTTGATCAACAAACTGAACGCGGGGAAAACCTTGCAATCGACCATTCTAACGGAGAACAAAAAGAGGAAGAGGCGCAAGCACAAAGGCAGGCGAAGGGAGAGGAACAAGGGAACGAGAATCAAGAAGAACCACGAGCGGAAGAAAGTTGCAGGTAAGATTCGTGTTAAACCTATTAAGAGGGCGCAATTCTGCTGCAAACACTTGTTTTTTACTTGTAGAATTAGAGAAAATGAAATATGAGTCGATCAACGATTCCATTTCTGATTGTCGAATTCATTATGGATTAATGTACTTAACGACAGATTGGATCGCGCGAAATTGCAGGTCGCCGGAAGGGTAACAAGCAGAACAACGAGAACAACCACACGGGCATGTTCAACGGGACCAGACCGCAGCGATCTGTGATACCATCTGGCAAACGGAGGTGCGTCCAGGGCTGCCACTTCCGATTAATCGAACGTTGCACTTGGCCACAGTGCAATCACAGCTGCCCGAAGTTGCACAACCCGTTCACCGGCGAGGAGATGGACTTCATCGAGCTGTTGAAGAGTTTCGGCCTCGATATGAAGAGCGTGGCGAACGCGCTGGGCATCGACATACAAACGCTGAACACTATGGACCACGAGGAACTTCTGAACCTCCTTACGCAAAGAGCGAATTAACTGTTCGCCACGAAATTAAAGCGAAAGACGTATCTACCGTGTCTCTAAAGTAGTAAATTATGGACCTAAAATACGGTGCACTGTTGCCGGGATTTGTGACTGGATGCGGAAGGGGTATCTAAGATTTCAGCCATTTTGTATAGTCAAGTGGCGCACTCTTCACGTAACGTGCACGTATCTCCATGATAGCGTCCATGGCTATGGTAGCGGTGAAAAAGTTACAAGCTTTCGATTTAGAGGACGGCAACAACACTAGTTGACTATAAAAATGGCCGACTTGACTGAAAGCTTCACTTCTGGAAGTTTATACACCGTCCTTCACATCCGTGGTAGTAACGGACTGTTGTTTTGTGTTTGAGATTCTCGAAAGATGACCAAATTGTATGTACATAGCGTGTTAGAATTTCTATGCGAATTTGATGTTCTTCCAACGAGATGTTTAATTTAAAAGAATTTTACGACTTCGATCGTTGGTCCGTTCGCGTGTGAAGTTTCACGTTACTCGTCGCGGGTACTTTAATTTATTTCATAGCTTGTAGGCAGAGTAAACGGGCACACAATCATGTTACGAATTAATTCGCTTCGCGGTGACACCGTTTATCATCGATCGACACGTTTCTGTATCAGCCACGAGGCTCGATCTTTTACCCACCAAAATGTCTCTTCCTCCTGAACATTTGTACCTGGTACGTAGAGAACAGAACGTTCGTAGAACGATTTACCGATGAATACCATTGCCACGAACGATGCCTTTCTATTTTGGCAAGAAGGAAATTGTATTAGGAGCACAAATAAGTTTCCGCCGTTTTTCATCTTAAATTGGGCATTTATTGTGAAAGAACGGTACCTTACGTTATATTCAAAGTAATATCCACCGCTGGTTACTACTTTTTCCCATCTATCTGACAATATTCGAATACCGCGTCGGAAGAACGCTTTATCTTTTGACGCTAGCCATAAATCGACCCAATTTTTGGTATCTTCATACGATGTGAAGTGCTGCTCAGACAGGCCATGCGTCATCGATCGAAATAAGTAGTAATCAGAAGGAGCAATATCTGATGAATACAGCGGGTGGGGTAAAACTTCCCAATTAAGTGTTACCAAGTAGGTTTTGGCTGGTGCCGCAACATGAGGACGATCATTATCATGCAGAAGAATGATTTCGTCATGTCTGGAGTAATAATGGGCGCGTTTTTCCTTGAGTGCTCGGCTCAATTTCATCAACTGAGTTCGGTAGAGAGCCCCAGTAATGATTTCGTTCGTTTTCATTCAATAATGCTTCCAATTCCGCGTCTTCGTACACTATCGGCCTTCCACTACGTTCTTTGTCTTCGACACCAAATTCACTGTTCTTAAACTTTTGAAACCACTCACGACGACTTCTCTCACTTAATGCAGTCTTACCATATGCTTCTACGAGCAATCGATGCACTTCAGCTGCAGATTTCATCAAATTAAAAAAGTAAATCAGAACTTCCGGCAAATGACGTTTATTTGGCTCAAAATTCGACATTTTCGCACGAAAAAAATATACGACGCTAATAAACAATCGCTAATATTTCGATATTATGTTGTTGACAAATATGCAACTTTAAGATATGACGTCTTACATCTGGCACTAGCCACCATGATTTACTGGTTGCGCTATCTGATTTCGAACGGCGGAGACTTATTTGTACACCCGATATTACAACGAACTTACGTGTACTTAAGAAAATTCGCAACCGGAACGTTCAGTATTAACACTGCCGGCTTATAGTCGATGCTCGCCGATACCGAACGGGGCAAACGGGATAAAGAACGTTGAACTCGACGCGGGATAACGCGCGCGCCTAAATCGAGTTTCGCGAATTGATCCCCGATAGGAAGGCAGGCCGACCGACAAACCAGCTTCATAGACTGATTAAATTATCTACCTCAACGAATCAAATCGTATTAACGTCCTTTTCTGTACTATAAACGGCGATTAGCGGAGTTTAAACGGTGGCAAGAATTAATTAAGTCTGTAGATTTAAATCGCGGACACGAGACGCCGGTGCGCAGTCGCGTCTAACTGTATCCAACCACTGTAATATATATACTCGTCGAACTAATTAATTATTTATTTAAAGCGGCAGGAGTGCGTTTACGGGGGCGAGCGAGAGGAGTGAGACTCCTCGATCGAGCGTTTAATTTATTTCCGAAACCGACTCCCCGTTCTCTCTTGCATTCCCGCAAAGAAATATTGTTATTTTGTACTGGCGTGAAAGTCTGTAAATAAATTGTATATCTGTTGTACCGAACGAGCCCTGCGGATTGGTTTTCATTTCGTCGATCTGGTGAAACGTCACTTCCACGTTGCTCCTCTTGATGTTCCAAAAACACGTGTCCGGGCGAACAATCGTGAACAATTTCGAACGCAGATCCAGGGCGATCCGTCACAGGATCGAACAGAATCGGAGCTAAGCGGCGCGATCGGCAAACGTCGCAGCGGGTAACGATAAATCGAGTCGACCGCACCTGTACCTAATCATCATCCTGTTAGCAGTGACGACCCGCTCCCCGCGGCCCCTCCCGGTCCGCTTGCTCGAGGGTGATAATTCAATGTAGAATCAGAGCCCGTCCCCCCGGTCCCGGTGGAGAGATCCGTCGATGCCCGCGCGTACGCTTCGATCCTCTGCGAGCCCTCCCGGCCGCAGTCGTTGTCGTCTCGAAACTATATGTTCAACGGCGTACGCAGGAAATGGTGTTTAATGCCGACGGGTCAGCTCGGGCCTGACCTCCGGTGGTTGGACGACGGCCGATGGGATGACCGGGCGGCGGACAGAGAAAAACGCAGCGTGTTCCGTCGGACGGGCGACGAGGACAGCGACGACGGTGGTCCCCACCGAGGCAATTGACGTGTCCGAGGAAGTGGAAGGATGGCACAATGTGCTTGAATGTCACATAAGCGAGTGGGTTCTATATTAAACTGGTCCGGTTACAGCTCGTTCGGTTCTCCATCGTTCAGTCGGTGGACTGTCTCCGGGCCGGTTGCCGGGATAACGCGATCGACGTTCCTCTTTACTCGTTACCGTGTCGTTCCCGAAAAAGTGGTAAGCGCTCGCCGAAACTGCGAGGACCGCGAGCGATGAGCCGATCGAGCGGCTTCCGATCCCCTTGAAAGCTGTCTGGCGAAAAAGGGAAACGGGAAAGCGGTGGACTCGCTTCTCTGGGCGGGCAACGAACCGCGGCTGAATGCTCGATCGACCGTCGAGAAACAAGGAGAACCGGGACTCGAGGGACTCCTGGCGATCGACTCGCTGCGTCCAAAGTGGCCGCGAGGTGTAAGTGTGTAGCTATTGCACCTCAAATACTGTACAGTCGCTTCCCATACTCTTCATTTCTTTAATATGATATCATATTCTTAATATCTGACACAGTTTAGTCGACATGCACGATCCTGTTTCTTTTAGCGAACATAAATAAACGTCGACGGTGTCGTGAGGCGCGTTTGGGCGCTTAAGTACCTTTCCGATAAAATAGCATTACTCAATGATGCTGAAAGCAGTGATATTGCTGTTTCTTCATTTATTCTGCGACATCGGTAAGCGGAAACGTCGATCTCGTTCACTTACTGTACACTCTCTCTCTCTCTGACTGAACAGATAAAACACCTGACGTTCACGATTCTAGCATTGGCAGCGCAATGCGGAAAGGTATGGCTAACAGTCTCCTCGTTGTGGAGACCAATCGCTGCCAGCGACAAGGTGGTCGACGCTGAGCTCGAAGTAAATTGGGACCTCGATTGCCCATCGAGCACAGGATACCCAGATACCATCAAGGTGTTCACTGCTGACCCAGCACATAGTAATAAGTTTTGTTTGCTTCTCTCGAACCTCGTAACTCGTGATTCAAGGTTTAATATTGATGTACTTTCTCCACAATAATTTCGATTGCTATTTTTTTATAAATATTAGTTATTAAAAAATCTTTGGAAACGCGTAAGCAAAATTAAAGCCTCGAAGTTGCATCGATATCGGTCGACACAATCATCGACATTGTGCTTGTAGACAAAACGGTGAAGCCGAAGTTGACTCTAACTTCGTTACAACACCCGCGGGGTTATTATCGAACGAACATCACGGTCGGCCGTCCCCCACTTCCGGGTGGATGGGACACTAAGGACGGCGCGACACTTCCTGGTCCTCATTGCTTGAAACATCACGCTGCTCTTTACAAGGATGGGGCTATTCTCACCAGTTCCTGTTTGCAGATCTGGCCGACGTGGATGTATGACTTGAGGTAATGAATCAATCGTTTAATCGACGTAACACGAGGATTCAACACGGGATTTTAAATGACACAGTTTTAATAACGACACTATGCTTCTGTGTTTTTTTCTCGGACCCTTAGGAGACAATTAGGGAGGCTTCCAATAGGAAGCTTAATGATCCCCGGGACGCATAATTCCGGATGTTACAAGCACGGCGACCTGACACGACGGGATGCGTTCCAGAGATACCTACTAACACAGGATCGTGACGTGTGGACGCAATTAGTCCACGGTATAAGGTATTTGGATATCAGAGTTGGTTACTATCCGTCGATCCCGAACGGCACCGCCATCGAGGAGGGCAACCACATAAGCAGATTCTGGATCAATCATGACGTCATCCGGATTACCCCCCTCGCCACCGTTATCAAAGACGTGAGAAACTTTTTGAACGTCGCTAGGGGAGAGGTAGTCATTATGGACTTTCATAGGTAAATTGATAAAATAGTATAACACCGACAATTTGTTGATCGATAATAACGCGAGAACGTTCTCATGCTCGCAATTCAATTGAATACAATCTTCTTATCGAGTAAATCAGGCAGAGAATAGTATTTTTAAAGGGACTTACCAGTGTGATCACATAAAATTTAGGTCATTTTTGGGAATTTTTTTTAAGAAAACTATTCTATAGAATCTTTTTAAACTTTATGGATGTATTTGCCTATAAATGAACTGTGTGAAATAATTTTTTCGTACAAAAATAACTAAAGGCGACTAAGTTATGCGTTTTCTCCTGAGACACCAAAAAAAAGTGCCTCAACTAAAATGAAAAAATGATCAAATGAAATTCGATTTTTTTATAGCTTCACATTGGTAAGGCCCTTTATTAAACAGATACCCGTGTTATATAACAATCGCAACGAGCAGAAAGATATGATTATGATGATCGCAGATTTCCCGTGGGATTCGAGGACAATAGACACCGTCGATTAGCCATGATCCTCTTACGAGAGTTCGAAGACTTAATCTTGAAGCCTGACAGGGGGGTCGAAGGTCTTGGTCCGACCTTGAATGACATTTGGACTGGTGGCAAGCGTTTGATAATTTGTTACGGCGATAAACACACAGTTAATGGTAAATTGACCATTAGCCTTTACTAACTTCACTCCCATTTTCAATGGAACTACCATTTCCTATTTGCTGATACTCCAATTTCGCCGAACTGCGACTGTAAGCCGATTCCATTTCTAGAGTACGATTGGCTCTGGCCGCCGATGTATCAAGCCTGGGGTAACCAGCAGACGGTGGAAGGACTATTCAAGTACCTGGACAAAGTCATCATTGGGCCGAAGAAGTCGCGGAACAGCCAGAACCCGTTATGGTCGGTGATGGCCGAGCTGACGCCGTACCCGTTGGACATAATCTTCAATTTATCCGGCGGACTGCGGCAGATGGCCGACTCGGTGAATAGGAATCTCACGTACAAGTTCCAGGAGGAATGGTGGAAGGAAACGAACATCGTCGCGTCCGACTTCTTCCTCGGGAACAATCTTATCGACGTGTCGATACAGTCGAACATAAAGAAGAGCAACATCGCCCAGTGGCGCTTGTAAGCTAATTAGATGCGGTTTCAAGGGAAGAAGGTCACAGAAAATTAAATAAAATGGCAAGTGTAGAAATAAGTAGAAATACTTAGGAGTTCAAGAAACGAGGTCGACGATTTGTTCGTAAATTACAAAGGTTTTAGCAGATAGGATTTATCGATCCATCGTGATAAAGAAACGTAGGGTAACCGAGTATGTAAATTAAGAACTAAAATAAATATCAACACATGTACCTATGAAAAACGAACCCGTTTTTTATACCTAAGCAATTCCTCTAAGATTTCAATAATTCTCCGTCTTCGACATCTAAGTTCGTCAATGTTTGCTCACTTCCAATCGACGAGTACGAATAAACGGAAACGTCCGAAACAAATGCCGCGACAGTTGCCGGGACGAGCTTGGCGCGGGTCGATTTGACTTCCAAATAAACACCGTAGAAAGTGAGATCACGTTCGCAACACCGCTCTTCGAGGCAGTCGATCGTCCGGTAGCAGCGACCGACGACGAATCGATGCGAAGTGAATCTGAACCTGAACGCGGCTGTCGTCCGTCGATCCTCTCAACAGGAGCGATCTTCTTCTTGCGTTCGAGCTAACTTTCTAACACGCTTCCAGCGCGTCGATACACTCCCGCTGGCTTAACTCTTGTTTCACCGCGCTCCTCGCCGTTCGTCACTTTATCGCGACGTTGATAAACGGTGCTCCTCTCGCGCGTACGAGGATCCGGGAATAGTGCACGCAACGGGGCGAAAGAAACGTTGAGAAAATAACGAGCCACGCCAGCTATTCTTCCGGTTTCACTCCGCGCTGCAGAAACGAGCCGACGTGAAACAATGGTGAACAATCTCGCGAGTCAACCGAGAGAACTGTGGGCCGTTTACGCTTGGTGGTCGTGCGTTCTCGTTCTAAAGATGAACGCCCTGACGTGGTTCACAGGCCAAATTCGTGTGGCTCGACAGGTACTTCCTTTATGAAAATCCTGTAATTCGTTAACACATCGATTTTATACGATCCATTCCCATCTTGATCTTATCTTATGCGCATAGCAAATTTAAATAGACGTCTTATCAAAATTATTAAGCTTCAACAGTTTATCGAATTAACCTATGCACAGTCAAGCGTCGCTTATCGCAACGGAAATAATTCCTGATGTGTAGTTAACTACTTGTTTACATACACAAACAAGTACACACGCATGGCCTCTAATAGGTTAAATTTCGTTATCGGAGAACGACGTTATTAACTCCAGTTTTATTTTGATCGATAAATCGGACGATATCGTGACTCAGTAATTATGGTACACAGTTGACGCAATGAATTTCAGGTGATCCATAGCGAGGAGGACAGAATGTGGTTCAACGGTCCCGATGTAATTTTATGCCCGACAGGGGGCGGCCACGAGGACGTTGATCGCATCCGATCCGCGCATCGCCACGATCTTGAAACCGTACTGACTTATCTCCTAATTACACCGATATGGCTGAGCACGTCGCCGTCGTTTCCTCTAGCTAGACTGATCCTACCCTGTTTTGCAATAGTCAGCGTGTCGCGCACGCTTCTGCACATGAAAACTGTCAACCTGCACCGTTCTTGTAAAACGATACTATCCGCTCTCGAATATTCCATTCTGATTTACATGTCCGTCGAAGCTGCACTCCATTATGCGTTTTAAATCGAACGTTTCCAACCGCTTTGTACACACGATCATACGTCCATTGTATAATAAAACACTTCATGCTTCAATAAATTAAATATACCAATACAATAATGTGGGTTTGTGATGAACTGGGTTGGCAAGAAAGTAATTACAATATTTGTGAAATCTGTCAGAATGAACGATTAAATTTTCATTCCTAATTACTATGTCAATGATCGATTAAAATTTAAGAAGGTTTAATCGCTAATGCGGTGATAAAAAAATCTGTACATTATCTCTTTATTGTTCATTAACTGTTAGATCAGTATCTATTTTTTTTAATCGATAAGTCGAATAGATAACGGCAACAGAAAAAAGACTATACACTGTGTTTTCCTCGAGCATCCTTCTGCTTCTTAATTCTTAATTAATGAATGAAAGAAACCGCGAAATGAATTAATTACACTGTCTCATACAGCCATTATGCATGCACATAGCACAATATAATACAATATAAACCGCGATAAACTGAATCTCTAGTGCATCTAAAAATGGACGTCATCGTATCTTCATTATCATTCAATATAATAGATAAGTATTAAGCTTCTATAGATTACGACGTGTCCGTTGAGTTACGTCTTTGAGGTCAATAGTCAGTTATTAAGTTAATTTTGGGTTCGACTCGTGCAGATTCTCAATGCAACATGTATTGTAGTAGCGAGTCGACTGGCAAAGACAGTGCAGTGATTCCCCGAGTGGTTTTCAGTTAAACTCGTCCGAGGTTCAAGTCCCTCATAGCTAACGAGGCTCCTGATGAAATTCGGTAGGTTATATATTCGACTCCCAGCGAATTAGCATACAAATTACAATAGTCAATATGTTTTCTACACTTTTATAAAACGTGAACTTCGTACCTTAAATGTACACCAATCAGTTTTTTACTTAAGCCACTTCTTACCTGTTTAGTATTATAATTTATTCGGGATCCGGTGGATATATACGTAACCGCCGAGGATTCCAATATATAAAAAGGAATAAACGCGTCTGTGCTAGATCAATCAGGGACCTTGACTTATATTTAGTTTCCTCTTAGATATTTTCAAGAACACAATTCCGCGAAACAGTACAAGGTAACGCAGTACTAATTAAATATTTTTCTTTTAAACACACACATTTTTACGGTTTAAAGTAATTATGAATGTATTCCTTTTAATTGAATAATAATGAAGCATGCGTACTCTTACCGCAATTTTACATTAGGCACGCGCGCTCGGGCTCGGGCAGCACAATGTCCACCGCGTGTAATCTGATATAGTGAGTCAAGCGATAAGGCGAGAACGTTTACGATGGACAGTGACATTCGGCTGTTCGCGGAGCTAGATAAAAGTTCCGTGCACAGGCTGCTACAAATGGAAGTGTTCGTCTTCGACTGCATGTTCTTCTTCACGTTCCTCTATCTGTTCGTGTATTTAATCGGTCGACAGATTTAGAGGTTAGAACCGCGGGTGCTCCGCGACCCGTCGCGACTCGCGAGCCACTGAGGGCCGAAAAATAGCGACCACATATAGGAACGCGTGAATTTCGTAATCGTGCGCGAGTAAAATTTATAATGAAAGAAAAGGGAGTCTACCTGGTGGTGTAACTCGGTTTCTAGTCGACCGGAGAGGATGGAGATAGAAGAGGGAATCGTTCGTAAGCAGACACTCCGCGGCTTTCTGCGGCGCGTACCTCAGCGACTGTCGGAAGCCGTGGAACACTTCTTTTACGGGTAAGTTCTGCGACCAATTTCTCCCCAAAGAACACGATTCTTAAACACTGTGTTTTGCAGACTCGGACTGAGGATCGCACGGCAACCGAAGAGATGGCTCCTTACGAGTACTGTGATAGTATTAATTTCTCTCTCCGGTTTGTACTTCTTTCGACAAGAGAAGAACCCCGTGAAATTGTGGGTGCCACAGGATTCGGAGTTCGTTCGTGACACCGAATGGATGTTCGACAAATTCGGACAGGGTTTGAGAATGGAACACATGATAATGACAGCTGACGATGTGTTGATGCCAGAGATTCTTGCCAAGGTATCTTTCTTACATCGACTCCGTAGACATTAATAAAAATATTATTTATATATATTTTTCCTTCAGCTAAACGAAATAACAAAAGAAATTATTTCTGCACAAACGCCGGATCAGATTTTATGGACAGATGTATGTTTCAAGTAAGCAGTCTCCTGAGCATGTTATCAAACAGACACGATAGAGAATGATACAAGAAAAAAAAAACAATTAATTTATCTCTCTTACGTAGAGTACCTGTTGTATCAGGTATTGTACATAGAAAGAGACGCAGTGATGAGTTTGATGATTTCTTTGACGTTGAACCCGAGTCACAGATAAATAGTACCGCATTTGAACCCGCGGTTCACGCCGACTCTCAGCTCTATTGTAATATAGTGAACAACTTGCCGAAGGCTTGCCTTTTAAACAGTATTTTGGATGTATGGGAGTACGATACTAAGATGATCCTCGAAAAGTCTAAAGAGGAAATTATCAGTGATATAAATACTGCGAAAGTCAGTCCCACTTTGGGCCATCCGCTAAATTTCACTGAATTGCTGGGTGGCGTAACGAAGGACGAGAAGGGTAGAATTATCTCGGCTAAAGCTGTGACGACTCAATGGGCAGTTCACATAAATTTTTCAGAAGTAGATATGGACAACTTCGGCAATGATGTTGGAACAGCCGATTGGGTAAGGTAAGTTTGTTGAAAGGCCTGAATCATGATGTACCGATAAAACGCATAGATTCTAATTTTCAAACGACTTTTATGAAATTAATCAGTGAACAGAGTGTATTAGGTGTACGACTTTGTTGTACCAACGAAAGGCTGGTCAGCCAAAATGTGTACAGCTAGTAACAACGAAATTGAGCCAGCTACGTGCATGTGTTAGTCTCCCGTGAGGGGACAAAATTCAAAATGAGTAATAAGTCAACATCTTATTTTTTCGATGCTCGATCTCGCATTGATATTGTTGGATTTTAACATAATTTTTACGCGTCAAAATAAAAGTAATGTTAACGTACGCATATTACCATCACCTACATTGAAATTCTTTTTGTCGATCGCCTGTGATTGTTTCAGTCAGTTTTAATAGCTAATAGCCGGACTGGTCTCACCAAATACAGAGTATAACCTTAGAGTCGTGAATATTTAGTTTTTCCCCTGATTTTCTGCACTTGGGGTTATCATAATGAACCCATTTTTCGTTCCCAGTCACAATACGATGCAGAAATCCCTTCCGTCTTTCCCTTGCCAACAGCTATTCACAAGCAAACAAACGCCGTTCAACATCTCTCGGCTTCAACTCGTATGGCACCCAATTTCCTTGCTTCTAAATCACTCCCATGACTTTGAGGCGTTTTGAAATGGCTTGTTGAGTCACTCCCAATGATCCTGTCAATTCTTCTTGCGTTTGTCACGAATCTTGATTAAGGAATGCCTCCAATTCTGCATCTTCGAAAACCGTCTCTCTTCCACCGCCATGCCGGTCTTCGGCGTTAAAATCACCGTTGAAACCACTCGGCACGTTCTTTCACTAATGGCGGCATCACCATAAATATTTGAGAGCATTCGATGAACTCAACCGCAGATTTCTTCATATTGAAATAAAAAATTAAAACCTCCCACAAATGAGAATTTGTCTCGTAAACTGACATTTTGAATCGAGAATAACTATGATGCAGACACAAATCGATTAACATTTCGATAGTGTTATGTTTACAAATGCCTAAACTTATTGTATGACATCTACGATCAGAAGCAAAGTTGTACACCTAATAATATAATTGACTATTGTACGTCTCGAGCGTTTTATGATTTAGGCCTTGTACCGTTTTCAATGTGATTCTCATAAGACTGTCTCTAATTTATAATACTAATTCATTTTAATAAAATCACTTTTTTGTATCTGTTCTCCATTTTCTTGAAGTATTCAATCCTTGTATCATTTTAAACGTGACTCTCCTCAGACTGTCTCTCATTTATAATGCTAATTCATTTTAATGAAATCTCTGTTTTGTATCTGTTTTCTACAAAGTCATTCTTTTCCTCGAAGTATGCAAATCAATCGTTATATCATTTAGAACGCAATTCTACTAAGACTATTTTAATCTCATTGCTTTCCTCGAAGTATCAATTGTTATTCACTACACTGCAGGATAATGCGTTTAGGAATCAGGATAGCTTCTTGTTTGTAGGCAACCGACGATGTAATGAAGTGGGAGTTAACTTACTTAGATGTGTTGCATAAAAATGCAAAGTTGTTAAACAATAGAAACGATGCAAATGATACATCAGCTATTTGGTACGAAGCTGGTAGAAGCTTCGGCGATGTTACATTTGTGACGATGTTTGGAAATATGGATATATTGTCGATAGGATTCATTTTGATGTTCTTTTACGTTCTAGTCATATTTTCCGATTATAACTGGGTGGGATGGAGGGTAAGTCTTTCATGATCCTCCAAGAAGTGAACTCATTTGTATCGATTCCGATGTAAAAAATATGAATTCTTTTAGATCTACCTCACTATCGTTGGTCTCCTATGCGTGGGTGGTGCTTTCATAATGTCGATCAGTGTATGTTCCATACTCGGCATTCCCTACGGGCCAGTACACACTTCTTTGCCATTTTTATTATTAGCTCTTGGCGTAGACGATAATTTCTTGATAATGGCATCTTGGAAAGAAATACACGCGCATACGTCGAACCGAAATAGGCCGTTGGAAGAGAGAATAGCTTTAATGTTAGGTCACGCAGGATCGGCGATCATTATTACTTCTCTCACCGACGTTGTTGCATTCATTATTGGTGCATCCACCGTAAGATCCCATTTGTAATTAATTTTTCACATGTATAAGAAAAACGTATCCCATATCGTAATTGTACACATTTTTAGATATTGCCATCTCTGCAGTCGTTCTGTATTTATGCGGCGTGCGGAGTATTATTAACGTTTTTCTTTCAAATTACGTTTTACGTCGCGTTTTTCTGCATCGACGCACGGCGAATCGAGAATAAAAGAAATTCGATAATACCGTGCATCGTGCACGAGAATTTCACGCAGAAGTTTCCCAATCCGCAGGACGAACTACCAGCGAAGCTGATAACTAAATTATATTCGAACGTGGTTCTAACGATACCGGGTAAAATAGTTATAGTATTGATAACGATAGTTACAGCGTCGGCCGGAGTTGTGGGCATATTGCAATTGCAACAATGGTTCGATCCAGCTTGGTTCATACCGAGCCACACGTATCTGAGCAAATACATCGACGTACGTCGCAACGAATACCCGGAAGTCGGCTACGAAGCGATGATTCTTATGGGAGATTTTAACTACACCTCTGAATTCCCAAAGATAATAAATCTAGCCGAGAGATTCGCCAATTTGTCGACTGTACAAACTATAAATTCGTGGCCTAACGCTTTTGCGAAATTCGTCTGGGATTATTACCAAAAAGGTGAATTGATTATTAAAAGAATTAAAAATCTATGCCAGACGAATTAAAGAAACCATTCTTTTACTTGATAGATTTGCGGAATGTGACGCTTGAGGATACCAAATTTCGCAGTTATCTGTCGAAATTCTTATTCAGTCGGAACGGTGGAAAATACCAGCGGAACTTTCTTTTCAAGGATGCCTTAACGTGCGGTCAAGATACTCCTATGATCTCAGTATCCACTATAGATTTCATTTTTAAACGATTTCACGGACCTCATGAGTGGATCCCGGCCATGGATGGAAGCAAGCACGTGGCGCACGACGTCGGGATCGACGGTTTCGTCACGGTTTGGAGCGAAGTGTTCAGCTTGTGGGTCACCGACAAGCTGATCGCTCAGGAAGTGCAGCGCAACGTTTTATTGGCCTTGTTCTGTGTCATGGGAATGACTGGATTGTTGATCGCCGAGCTACAGACTTGCTTCTGGATCTTCTTGTGCGTGCTTCTTACGCTTTTAAACGTTTGCGGATTCATGTATTTCTGGGGATTGACGATCGACATCGCATCTTGCATCGGTGAGTTTGCATTCGCTTCTGAATTCTTGAAGGGGAGCGGTAGAAGTGTAAACGATGTTTTCTCAAATCGATTCACAGGCTTGGAACTGGGCATCGGTTTATGCGTGGACTACGCGGCTCACGTTGCACACGCGTTCATAAACGCGGCGAGCGAAACCGGGGGCGAAGATCGTACGAAAAGGGCGCACCTTGCTGTACGATACATCGGCGCAGCCGTTGCGTACGGCGCCGGTTCGACGTTACTCGCACTTTCCATGATGGCCTTCTGCGACAGTTACGTGTTTCACGCATTCTTGAGGATTTTTGTCTTAGTTATACTTTTCGGTCTCTGGCACGGACTGTTCCTTTTGCCTGTTATTTTAAGCACGATCGGACCGCGAAGCCTGCGGTCGCAAACGCAACCTCCGAAGAAACGAGGAGACGCCGGCGACGCTGTTACCAGTCCGTTGAACAAGGAGTCGGAGAGCTGAAGCGAACATTCTTTATCAATAATATTTATTTTTGGTTCAATAAACATACAAAATTATTACACTATCCGTACTATTAATCACACATTTATACAAAAATAATAATAATAATAAAGATCGGATAACTTAAAAACGGCATTATTTATATATATATATTTATATTTCTATCTAATATATATTAAGATTAAAAAAACAAGTACAAAATAATGTAGCAAGAATGATATAGATTTTATTAATAATAATTATTGATCGGAAAGGAACATGACTATTATAAACGTAACGTAATCGTGTTGCTGGATGCGTTATCTTTTTTTTTTTCGTTTTGTATGTATAATCATAATTAATGTTTATGACGTAAAAATGAGCGGCGAGGGGGCGACCCCGGGATTGATTGGCCAGCTCCCTCCGCTGCCTCTCTCAGTCTTGCACAGTCCACGAACACTCGCGCGTATCTTTCATTCGAATGAACTGTCATTCCTCAGTTTTCCCCGTTTGTCGTCTCTCTCCGAGTCCGACGGCCACGTTTCCTCTTGACCGTGGCCGGGCTCGACGCTCCGGAACGGAGGCGAGACAAACGGGAAGACCTAAAATATAATGGCTCATACGTAACACGTTCATCCTTCGGCAGAGGCATTCGTGATTCGAGGCGTACGATATTCTTTTGTTCCGAATTACGATTCAGCACACACGTTAGTAGACTGCCGGGGGGCAGCAAGCCACGCACGAACGATACGGCGGCGATACACAATCTCCTTACTTAGTTCGAAATTTTACAAATTGGGATCGTACATTCCATAATTAATGAGGAACCATCGATACAATAATAATATTTACCTAGCAAAACGTGCCGATGTAGTGTGGCGAAGGACGCGTGATGATGTGTGAGCACAGTTAAACGTGTTACGAAGAATGGAGGGGTTCTTTTTCATGACGATGATGACGATGATGATGATGATGATGATGATGATGATGATGATAACGATAATATCGGTGGTGGAAGGGGGCGATAAGTTGGCGCGGGAGGATGCGTCCGGTAGAAGGGAGAGAGGGGCAGTTTCTTTCCTTCGTTCCGAGAGTTTGATTAATGACCGGGGGAAAAGGGATGAGCGGGAGGGTTTCGTTGAACGTTTTAGGGAAATTGCACGTCTGCTTGCCAGAAGTTCAAGGTACACGCACTTTATAGGGATACACCATGGGAAAGACACTCAGGGCAGACACTGACATAGAGACTAGGCTACCAACTATATGTATACCTATCTAAACGTGTAATTAGCGTACGCACCGCGTACACTCGGTACGCCCGCACTCCACCCGCATTCCGGGTTACTTATTTTCCCTTATTAGTTTCTGTTTGCTTTTAACGATCAGAGGCATGCGTCGGACACGACCGTGTCGTATGCACTCTCGTCTCTCACATTTTATTTTGTCTTTTCTTTTTTTACTCGTCTTCTCTCGCTCTCTCCTTCCTAATTTAATTTATTCTCATTTGCTCGTCTTTCTATCTCCTCCCCTTTCCCCTTTTCTCTCCTCTCTTTTAATTATTATTATCATCGTTTCATTACACTCAGCGATCGCGTCGTAGTCCTGCTTTTATAGTAAACGCTATGTAGTCTTTATTACTCAAGCTTATGCCCAAAAATCTACCAGAGGCACTTTGGGTTTATTTAGTACCATTTGAAGTCGGCGTGCGCGGGGGAGAGTGGTGTCGCGAATCCTTTTGTCGTATTTTTGTTTTTTTTTTGTAGTTTTTATTAATTATTTATTTTTTTTGTCTTTTGTAAATGATACAGCAACTGAACGACGTGAGCTTCGTTTCACGTTTCCCGACTCGGCAGAGTACCCTGTCTGTGATCCATAGTTTCTCTCTTCTTCTTCTTCTTCTTCTTCTTCGTTTTTCACGTACGTTCGCCGCTCCGATGCTTCCACATCCGTTCTCCACCTCCCCCCCGTTCCTTTCCCGTAGCCTACCAACTCCGCATCTTTCCCTGCTGCCTTACCTTTCCACTCACGGTCTTCCGATGTTTTTTGAGCAATAAATACTTTCTCCACTGACAACTTGCACATTGAATTGACGCACGGGACACACACTCACGCATACACGGAACAATACTCATTCGCAGCCAGCCGCTCGCGTCGACAGAACTCTCGGAGGTTAGTTGCTCGCAACGCCCTCGACGATATGAATTATTTCACGACAACCCCGAGTACTCTAACCTACGCGAGTACAAAAAGATACGAACACCATATTGGATTTCGATGTGCGCTTATAAAATAGGACAGTAACGGTACGTCATAATCGGGCTGGAAGAAATGATAGCGATTCTTCAAAAAGGTACGTACGATTTACGAATCTCTCGTTCGTCCGTTCGTCCATCCCTCTTCCCTCGCTCTCGTTAAATAAACGAACGAACACATCGCGCGCAGGCAGGTCGGCAAACATGCAACGGGATGCTTTTACGAGTACTGTCGGCCGCGAACGGCTCCCGGTCAATCTGATCTGCATCACACGAACTTTCACTCATACTGAGTATGGCTACATCGACAGAGTTTAATGTTACGCTTTAATTAATGATTATCAATTCATATCAATTCAATATCAATGTATTACAATCAGACAATACTCAACAGTGATCGTTATTCATTATATATTACAATAATTAAGAGTGACAACAACATGACGACGGAGGCGTTGAAGCATTACATAGGGAGGAGAGAGAGTGGCACAATGTGATTTCCTAGGAATGATGATAAACAGTCGAAGGAGGCGCCGATAGACGGATAGGACATCTTTACTACAATATGTAATACAAAGAGGAGGGGGGGGGGCCAGTGTGGGCCGGTGATGACACACGAGGACGAGGGGAAATATCTTTTTTTTTCCGCGCTGAATAATACGAATAGCGTGTGACAGTGATAAAAAGTGAACGTCGGGGGGCGGGGGGGAAGTGACGGGAGATGCACGACGATGAAGAACGAACGATTAATGATAAAATGGAACAATGAGCTGGAGACCAAGGAGAGGAAGCACGCACACTCAACACAACCGTCACATCGAGCTGGCCTCGCGCACGGCCATAGTCCATAGAGTAATACCTATCAACTAATACACAGTCTGTCTCCGGTTTCACGGACGACACCTCTCTCTTTCTTTCTTTCTTTCTTTCTTCCTTCCTTCGTTTTGGATGCATGTAAGTATAAATAATACGCGTAATGCACGCGGCGCGCTTACAGCACGGCGTGCCGGTCTCCCTCGTCGATCGACGACGTCGACCAATCAAAGATTGCCACGCTCTTTTACAAATTCGGACGAGAATTTCATGCACCGTCTTCTGCACTCGATTTTCTCCTGTTACGAGCGTAACAATGGTTGATCGTCTTTAAGGGAAGCGACTCGGCCGTGGGGCCGGTGCTGTACGCGCGCTTTTGCTCTTCGGATACTGCATATACATACACACATACTTTTGCGCCGGTATAAAGTGTATATATGTACACATATACATACGACATACCATCCATGTATATATAATATACCCATACTTGTTTAATTAATCATCGTTAATCATTAATTAATCTTATTTATTAAAATTCGTCAGTTCGTAATTAAAAAAAATTTCAGCTATTAGCGGTGGATGGAAATGTTTCTTCGTTAAAAATCGCCGATCCCCCGATATAGAGCGCGGCGTAAAATATCGACCGTACTTAAACACATTTACAATTTAATCGGGTCCGGACCGGCTGATTCGTTCACTCACTTATAACACTAACGTCCTATTCATCTTTTCGTTCGATTTAAAATTCTATTCGCCACGTGCGCGGCGCGTGAACCACCGACGACGACGGCGACTTCAAAATACACACAGACACACGCACACGCACACGCACACACGTACACACGGCGAAGTATTATCAGTTTTCGTGTTCATCTCTTTTGCATGGCAACGGTCGCCGGGCGGTGTGGGCGCACAACGATAGTTCTATTACAATTAATCATGATTTTGGTATCTTATGTACAATGACGCGTAGACGCGCTGCGTGATTATTGCCACACCTGCCGGTCAGCGACTGACAATTCAGAAGACTTCGTCCCCGAAACACTTTTAGTCCTCGTGAGACTTTATTCGAAACCTTCCTCCGCTCGTACGTTTTTCATTTCCTTCTCAATTAACGGTCCGTTGTGCAATCTCTTCCGATAATTCGCGTACTAAACTGAGATAACTGGCTTGCACGGAAACCTGAGACGATCGATTACGAGATAGGCCAGTCCTCTTAGCGCTTCCTTGAAAGAGTACCTAACTGCGGATGAGTATTCAGCAGGGTAACTCTTGACGGGCGGGCTTTGTCATATGCTTCATAGAGTTCATGGTACATCAGGGGTTGTCCACCGCCATTATATTGTGCACCTGTTCAAGCTTGTACGCCAATCTCTGCTTCTGCGAGAACTCGTCCTCTTCCAGGGTAACTATTAGCTGTTCGTTGTATTTACCCGCGTATGTATAAAGTTCGTACAGGGCACAATTCGTGTTGAACTCCGTCGTGTGCAACTACAGAAAACAGAAAAACACATGAGTAAAGACATATTTTAAGGGGTTTCCTGTCCTAAGACAAAAAAATACGTACCCTGGACTCTTCAGCGAGCATAGTGTTCATGTCTTGATCGGATATGGCTTGCATTGCTTTGATATCTGCGTAGTAACGTGCTACCCACTCTTTGTACACTGGAATGTCTTTTGCGTAAAGTAGTTTAGAACTCGGCGAGTCCTTACCTAAAAACATCGAAAGGGCATCGTTTATAAAAGTTGCAATCGTTACCATTTCACAGACTACGGATTTTTAATACATTTGCACAAGATAGGAATCTCCTACATCGTTTAAAAAGTGCGTTTTCGAATGTATGAAATCCGGAGTCTATCCATAATTGAGGCAGACCTAATTTATGTCGCCACGTACCTAATCTATGATCCGAAGTGGAACAGCTGTCCATAAATGTTTGCGCGACGACGGACAGGCACGAGTCGACGATATTCGATTTGTGCACGTCGAAAATGAAATTCGGGTTCTTGATGAGGTTCACCCAAAACCTGAGCGGAAGCGAGTTGCTCTTCCATGTGTGAACCACTTCAGGATCAGATATGCCGTGTTGCAGCGCTTGGTCGTCCATGAAGTCGAACATGTACTTAATCGCGAGGGGGAGAGCGGATCCCCGATGGGCAGTGCTAAAGATCGTTTCGAACAGATCGTCCACGAATTTCTGGAGCGTACCCTTCGTGGCTAGTAGCCTCGTCAGGTAGATCTCCGAGACCATTTTGTTGCCACGGTCTCCTTCTTTCCGCACATCGGAATCGTGGTGCTTCACCAGATGCCAACACTTCAAACCGCCGTCGTGGTTCTGATTTAACGGCGACGTGGCACGGGAGAGCGGGGGACTGGCCGAACTAAATTTGCTGAGATTCAGCGTTTCGTATTTATGCGACTTGTCAGTTTTCTCGGAGAGGATCGACAGGTTGTAAATAGATGATTGCTTCGAGACTAAATTGAGCGATGCGCCGTCCGGTACCCTGTAATGGTTCAGCGTGTTCCGCTTCTTCCATTCGCCTTCCGTTTTCGTCGTCGAATCCTCGTCGTAGAGGATCAGCCTGCCGGATGCTCCGGTTCGCCATTCTGCGTTTTATTTCAAATTCATTGTATTCATTGGAATAAAGAGATTGTCCGATTTGAAATTCTGAGATCTTACCGAGATCAAGGTCGTCCTTCCTGGGTCTTTGACTGTAAGGGGTGGCCCTGTAAATGGTATCCAGCGCCTTCTCCTTTACTTGAGATATCGTGTCGCAGTCAAGAACCTTTACCGGAACGTTCTCTGTGTTCGGATCCATACCGCCGACGAAAACCGTTTGTTGAGATATCGACACGTAGACCGTCTGCAAACAATTTCAAATAATTATCTCAGAACTGTAACTGAGAAAAACGCAATTGTTCGTATAGATAATTCATACCATTGGTTTGAAGTCAATCGACTGTCTAATCAGTTTCTCCTCGGACAATGAGTATCGCGCCTCGGAAGTAATGGCATCCACGGGACCTTTATCGATTTGTTGTTTCACCGCGCGGAACAGCACGTACAACGGCTCCCCGGCGCATTCTCGCATAAATTTGTACAAAAGGAAAGTGAACCAGGCTGACAACATCTTCTCAGCAACGCTTTCCGTTCTGGAATACAAGTAAAAACGTGATAAACGTTGAACAATATGGACTGTGTAAAGATTTCAATCGCAGGAAAATCATACTGAACTCACCTTCTAAGGAACAATTTCGGATGACTCTTCCCTTCCGTACATTTCTCTATCAGTTCCGCCAAAAGGGTTTTCAGAATATCCGTGCAGTATTCCATTTTACTTTGAAGCGTGACCATGATCAGACTGGCCACGTTTACTCTGTCCCTCATCGAGAAATACCGATTGCTCTCGAGGGTCCTCACGAACAGCAGCAGGAACGTCTTGTTCATTATCAGTTGCCCGAACAAACGCAGTCCTTTCTCTTTACGAACCAATTCCGGCCGATCCCATTGCAATACCGGGCTGTTATCGTCGCTTGGGAACAGTATCATCATCGCGTAAGTTCGATAATCCAAGAAAGGTATGCCACCGCTGGTGAGGTCGCCGGTGAGGTCCGTCATCTCGGTCTGCAATTCGGCGAAAGCCTCCTTGCATTCGGCAGCTACGCGAAGTTCCAGAATATCCATTTGCTCCTGCATGTTCTTCAGTACTCGGTTGCTCTCCGTCGACTTGCGCCGGTACGCAATCAGAAACGCGATGAACACAACCACTAAGATCACTATAGCGGCGATCACTCCGATCAGCGCTGGTTTCGACAATGGTCCATTGAGACCAGCTGGCAGTGCGTAGCTGAGTTTTCCTATGTTATAACAAAGAGTGCCACCTACGACTACGATCACCTCTGGTAGTTCCTGTTTATTCGGGAAGCCATCGGAATCGATGGCCGGCGGTTGGGTCAGCGGCGGTCTGCAGGTAAGCTGCTGCCTGGAGAGCGACGTGACGTTACAGAACGCAGTTCCTATCTTCACAGTCACGTCTGATTCCTGGCAAGCGCGATCGAGATGCTGGCCGTTGATGGTTAGGTAATCACTTTTGTAATACTTAATCTCCTCGTCGAACACCTCATAGATTGGATTAGGGTAGAGCAGGAAATGATTGAATCCGTGTTGTGAGAGATTCTGCACGCCCGTTACGTTGTCCATCCGGAAGCCGTATTCCAAGATCAATGGTTTCTCCGCGTCTAACGTGTAATCCGGAACTTCGATCGTCGGCGATCTACAAATCATGCTTTCCTGGCTGTGCACCTCGCACTGCGACACGAACATCTTCTCGTCATGGTACACGTACATCTGCGGGCTTTGGATGTACCCCAGATTCTTCCCGGTTACAGAGATCTTTATACCACCGGCTGGAATGCCCTTGGGAACCTTCATTTGACTAGCTACGCCGCTCTCCACGCTCAATATCGTAGGATCGTCGGCGTACTCGAAATGTCCGTTGTACATCCGAAGCGCTCCGTCGAACGTCATTTTCACGGTGCCGTTCCTCGTACGATTGCTGGCACTAGTCATGCAGAAAGCTTCATCCACTTGGGCGCTGATTATCGAGCACGGTAGCTCGTCGATGAAAGCCTTGATGGTGCTACCAGCGTTCATGTATTTACCGGTGATCCTGACGGTGGTACCGCCGCTCATCGGGCCGTACTTTGGCGATATGTTTAAAATCTGAGGATCGACGAACTCGAAGTTATGCTCGGACTGGCCCCTGAAGTCTTCGATCTGTACGATCACCGGTCCGCGTTTCGTTACGGACGTGCCCGGCCCGTCCACGTTGCAGACTATCTGCTTCGTGCGGATGTAGAGCTCCTCGTACGGTTGACAGGGCAGTCCGCCGACCATTACGCCGTGGAAGATGTCGCTGAACGTCTGTCCCAAATTGATCCCTAGTATCGTGACGTTAGTGTGACCTTCCCAAGGCCCCATTACCGGGTGGAACGAATGGATCTCAGGGTTCGGGCAGGTCTTGTTGCTGTTTAACCACATGCCAGGATCGGGCTCGCAGTTGTCCTTCACCTCGCATCTGTCCGTGCTCTGGCACCATCCGCAGTCGTATTTAGGCGCCAAGGTCAGGCACATACCGCAGTTGTCGGCCATGTCGCGGCACCGGTATATCACCAGGTGCACGTTCTGCGGATTGTCGAGTGGCTTCGAGCCGCCCCAGATCACCGCGAATGGCACGGTGATATTCGGCATACGAGACGTGTACGAGAACTCGGTCTCCTCGCAGTAAATCGTGTCTGCCAACAAGCGTGCGTTCACGCTCGTCACACGACCCTCGATGTTGAACTGACAGACGAACCTGGTCTGCACGATGAATTGCTGGAAAAGATGTTTCGAACACGTTAGGACGTCAATCATCCCTGCGGGGCCGGTAAGGTTCGCGACGCGTTCCCCCCCTTTCTCTCTCTGGCCGGCGACGTGAAAGGCCCGTTAACGACACGTGAAGACGTCGAAAAGGAATTAATGTGACAAGATTCTTAGCTAGCGAGGGATGAATACCGACGTTACTTACCCCGATGATGTGCACTTTAACTCGTATCACCTTCTTCACTCCGGAAGACACGAGGATCTCCGGGGAATCGGTCGCGTTCAGCGTGGGACAGAAACCTGGACCGCTCCTGTAACTCGGGCCGGTCCTCTGCAAAATTCAAAAATGAAATATGTACGCCTAGAGTTTTTTTTAGTAAATCCGATCGTTACAATTTTTGTTCACCAAATCCCAGGTGACCCGCGTAACCCGACCATTAAACAGAAGCTCTCCACTTACGCTAACACCCGTGACCAATATATCGTTGCGACAGTTCTCAGCCGTGTCGTGGGTGCACCTGTGCCCGTCGACGCACCAATCGCAGGGGAAGCTCGACGATACGCATTTCGTGCACGAGCTGTACGTGTTGCAATCGAAGAACGTGAAATTCGTGTCGACTAGGTCGGGACCGTTCGTCATTCTGACTGACAGCTTCGCCGTGAAATGGTGCTGTCCCGGCGGGATAGACGGCAGTAGATCAGTCCTCGGCGTTGTGCAGTTCACGCCGAACGATTTCCGCGAGGCGTTCGTAATCAAGGTCTTGTCTAAGGTGGAGAACGCGCATAGGAACTGTCCGGAGAGGGTCGGCAGATTCTCGATGACCAACTCCAACGTTCTCGCCGTCGTGCGTTGCAGCTGATCCGGTGTGACCGTAGTGATCGTCGTGCATCTGCCGCTCTTGTACGATATCCAATAGAGCGGGTCCTTGGCCGCGTCCTGGCAATCGCTGCGCAGGTTGCATTTGTTCTCCACCGAGCACCATCCGCAGTACGGGTCCTTCGCGCCCAGACAGTCCAGACAAGTCTTGTACACCGAACACTCTTGCACTTTGACCTTCGACACGGTCTTGTTCGTCATCACGTACAAGTGCATGAGCTGCGCGTCGAACAACAGATCTGGATTAATCGGGCAGTCCGGGTCTATCAGCAGATCGCCGTATTCCAGGGCCAGGGTCGAACTCTCCACCACCACCTGGAATAACGAATAAGAAACGACAAGCTGTAATTAATTACTCTCTCGATTACGCGAACGCCGGCGAGTTTCGCAGATTTTGCAAACGTTGCGCGAAACGTCGAACACGGCCATTATTCATCATTTCTTTCAGACTGATAATTTCACGTGATTTATTCATGGAAACCGTGATACAAACTGATACATACGCTTGACACGATCTATCAGATATTCGCGGTTTCGCAAAAACGTGCACGTTTCATTTCCATGTCATGAATATGATTATCGTTTTCAACGTATATCTAATTGCGAGAAAGTACAGGAGAAGTTCTCGCCCGGGAAACGCAATTACATAATTTCCATGGACAACCGTTGGAACTCTTTAACAATTTTTTAACCGTCAGATAATAGCCGTTGTTCCGCGGCGGCGGCGGCCCCGCCGAGCCTCGGCTCTTTCTCTTTCATGGCGGCGCTTGAAATATGTTATCTCTCACTCGTTACGACTTTACGCTTTGAACGCTTTCTCCCTCGAGTGTGCTCTGTTGCCCGATGCTCTATACATCGCGCATCGCTTTCTTCTTTCTTCCCGGTCGTACTTCATTCTATTTAAAACACACCTCCTAGGCTAATGCCGCGTCAAAGCGATGCTTCAGCAGAATCGTGTCTGCAAGGCGGCTGATTGACCAGGATAAACATGTACGTATCGTATATACATCGTGCTCATTAGTTCCGTTTCATAGTTAACGTTTCTTTGCCAGAAGTTTCCCAACGCCGAGTTTCAAATTGTTTTCTAAATCGTAATCGCATTGAATCTGCAGTTAATTCCGTGGCACATGAGAAACCGGCTGAGCCAGACGCGTATTCAAATATTTTGTTTCTTAATTAAAGTAAACGGATTTCGCGGTCGGCAGATTTTTACCGAGAGTCATTTCACGCCGCTGTAAAATTCTAAGCCGCGATGTACTTACTTTAAATAAATCGGCGCGGGCAATCTTTTGCGAACGCGTGTTTAACCAACAATCTCGGTTTTAACGTTTCACACCTTTTTTTCTTTTTTTTTTTTTTTTACGTCCTCAAATTTATCTACCGACTTTCCCTTTAACGCGCTTAACACCGCCACGGACTTTGAACGCGCCAGCTAATTACGCTGCAATATTTAAATATAGCTAGCGAGATTCTTTACATTTTCACTACTTTAATGTGAAACTTCTAAGAGGCGCCTTCTGTAATCTTTAAAAGAAAGCTCTCTCGTTTAAAAGTTGCGCTTTAAAGAAAATGTCGGAACCACCTGCCTTATAAATGATTGTTGGAGAGAAAAGTAAATTTCTAGTGATTTTTCTTTTCGATAGGTATTTTTATGTCAGTCGTCGTTGTTGATTGACTCTCTTATCAGCCATTTTGATGATGATTACTTTTTCATAACGTGCAAGTTTAATATCATTAAGGGGTCTTACCGAAGCAACGAAAAAACGACAATTTCTTTAAGAAGAAATCGAAGAATTTCTTAAAAACTCCGCCATTTTGTCAAATTTCAATATTTCTTGGATATTCTACGTCATTCAACAATAAAACATGTCTAGTTTAAGAGCGTCGTTGCCTTTTTTCATTTCAGGGACCCTAGCGAACTGTATGATGTTAGCAGTTGAGATTCTTTTTTTTAGCATAACTTGATTGTCTTTAGTTATTTTTGTACGAAAAAATTATTTTACACAGTTCATTTATAGGCAAATACATTCATAAAGTTTAAAAGTATTCCATAGAATACTTTTCTTAAAAAAAATTCCCAAAAATGACCTAAATTTTAGGCGGTCACAGTAGTAAGGCCTCTTATAGATCAGATTAGGTTAGGAGTGGACGCAACCGTAATATTTTGACGGGAGTCATAGTATTGAAAGAAAGATATGCGTATTATGTTCATCAAAGAGTATGTACGTTCTCACTCTTACTACCATTACTCTCCTTAAAGTACGGGTACGGTACGGACGTTCGCCGTTAGAGGCGGTAGATTCTGATAGTCAAAAATCGGCTCGGCCTTAGAACGACCTCGGAGATAATCCCTTCCTTCATCTCTACTCAGAACCAATTAATGTATCTATATTTCTGTTCTACTCATTGTTATTTGTTCTCTATTTTGTACAAAAATGGATTCTTGTAATCCATGAATGAAATACATAAATAAATATTACCGATCCCAAATGGACGGGACCGAGCAGGTGCATTTTACGTTTCACGTAGCCTTCAGTCACCAGCGGCGGTCGTTTTCCGCCCACGATAGACCATGGCGCGCCTAGTTATCGCCGCGAGCATGGAAGCCTAACGGGCAGCCTTAACCCTTTATTTTCTAACCGTTTAATTGCACGATACACATGCATCGGCCGCGATGGACTGCGCGATAGGAGGGAGACAAAGTTCAAAACCGCGAGCGAGCGGTCAGAAGAGGAGAGGAGAAGGAGGACAGGAGTAGAGGCGAACGAACGTTCGCAGGAGGAAGTCCTCGTCCTCGGCGAAACGGCTAAGCGCGTGACCTTTGCCCCGAATAAACGAATCGACCGCCGCGCCATGCCTGGCCTTCCACTATGTTGCGATCCTTGTTCGCTCACGGCGTGGAGAAATAATAACGATAATTATCGGAGCTACTGCGAGCGTGGTTAGCCGATGTTAATTGCGCGCTTGGTCATCGGCAAAAACGCGCAATTTTTATCATTGATCAGGAGAGGCAACATCCCCCGGATGCATCGGCCCATGATTGATGCAAGGACGCGACGCTTCCTGGGTGCAAGCCTGTTTTCCAGCTAGCCTAAGCACGATGAAATAGGTTTTTCTCCTAACCGATCAGGATACTCGTACAATCTTTTTCTTCACGCGCCTCAAGCAAAAGATGTCTGACCCCTTGATTACTTTTTATATTTCTCTCCAGAATATTCTTCTTCTCGAAACTTCCGAGGTGCTTGCTGTTTTATTTTAACGACACTCACAGTATCTCTGAGATTGCTTAGCAAGCGGGACCTTAAAGATGAAACGTACATTTCGCGCAGGCCTCAACTGCTGCAGTTCACGGGTTATCAAAAGATGGCGGGGTTAAGTCACGTCGAAACGGGAGGCGGACGTTCGGTAAACGCCGTTCGGTAAAAATGTAAGTTACGTGGATGCGTTTTCGATGTTCACGGCTGTTGGAAGATGGCCGCGTACGGAGATCGTTCTAATTACCAATCTACCAGAGAGACAGCTGGACGTTTTAATCATTCTTGTCCGTTGCCCTCGGTAGTTTTTATTTCCTCTTCATTGTGAATGAACAAAGATGAGCCAGTGGAGCGTTGGGAAATGTTCGATATCTCGCTCGCTCGTGGAACTCCATCGTAAGCTCGACGGAGGATCAATCCCGCCGCCTTGTTAAATGTAATAAATGTAATTATCGCTAGTATAAAGTCCACGGAATCAGCAGTCGTCAATTATATTCCTATCTTCCATCTCTCGAGAATGGTAATGAAATAACGAGGCCCGCGAGTGTTATAAGTCGATCCACAAACGTGATTAACGTGAACAGCAACCAGAGGCTCACTCTTGCTAAATATTTTTTTACACAGTTTACCAACTTCTTATACCAATCATAAATCTTTTTACGCAACTATCTCTAATGGTTTTATTATTGGAAATGAGTCAATAAACGAAACTCTTTTTATTTCATTTTTTACTTTTATGTATTCGAAGTAAAGAATCGAATGCATGAAAGAAAGTTTGGGACTCATTTAGAAAAAACCCTGACCCTGCACAGTATTTATTACCCTGGCCTTGAGAAATAAGTAGTTATAGACTTCTCGGGAATCAATTTGGGTTAAGAATCAATTGTACTGACGATAGTCTCTTAACAGATTCGTTTTTATTGTCTGTGTATACATTAGATTAAGTTACGTTAGGTTCAGCCAACAGGGCTCGTTATTTCATGTAGTACATTAGGTTATGTTAAATTAGTTTAAGTCAACAGGCTTAAGGATCAGTTGTGCTGAGGTTAATGTCTCCGAACAGTCCTTTTTATTATATATATTTATTTTATCAAATAATCCAACATTTACTTTGAAAATTGAAAACTAATCGAATGTAACAATTATGATCGACGCCATATTTTAAAGATGGAAGACTTTGTGAAGAAGCCTGACGATTTGTCGAGCACAAAGCAACAATTGGAATCGAATTGTGGCGAATATACAATAAATACAAGAGAATGAAGACGGAAATAGAGAGCTAGACACATCGGTCGGGTTAATAGCTTTCGCAAATATATCAACCTATTCGGTCTGATAACACGCCAAGCCTTCGATCCTTCTTTCTCTATGAGACGACCACCGGATCTTTGATTCTCCTTTTCCTTAACCTTCGACACTGTAGCGCAACGATTAAACCAGCGGGCAATTTCCCAGCGGGCGTGCAAAATCGTGAAATGTAACTCGACTTAATAACCACGCGACTGCAACGAACAAATCAGAGAAATCAATAAGAGGGGTCTCGATGGTAAGAGAACAGGACATATATATATATATATATAAAGAAGGTAGGGAAAAAAGGAAGAAGGAAGGTATAAAGGATCGAGAGAAGAAATAAAGGGAGACTATCCGTCTTTTTATCCTCGCGAGATCCGGCCGAGGCTACGCCGATCGCCAGGCACAAAGAAACTAATAACGTGCTCGATACAAAGCTACCAAGAAGTTGGTGGACGTCTTAATTACACCGCCTCCATCGTTCACCTCGTCTCTTTTTCGTTTATCCCTCGCTGGATCTCGCCGCCTCCCTCGCTCTCACATGCTCTTTGTTCGCCATTTTCTGACGTGTAGTAAGAAAGCGAAAGCGTGGGCACCGAGCCACAGAGCCGATATCGGTGTTCGACACCGGCATTCCTCAATCAATTTCCAAGCTACGTTTTGACAAACCGACGTTCATTAATTCTTTTTGAAACATTGAATTCTGAAAATTCGTTACTTCGGTGGAAATGCATCTTAATGCTTGCTGGCACGTTCAGCCGCATGAAT